ACATTCTCTAACAACAAACATTCTCTAACAACAAACATTCTCTAACAACAAGCATTCTCTAACAACAAACATTCTCTAACAACAAACATTCTCTAATAACAAACATTCTCTAACAACAAACATTCTCTAACAACAAACATTTCCTAATTTTCTAAAACAGGCAGTTGAAGGTGACTATCAAAGAGGAGACATGGCCATCAACAATGTAGATGTGATACTAATGCTGTTAGATTGGTTGCCAAGTACAAATGTATACATTCAAAGGTACGTGTAGGTAGATCCGGGGCAAGGGTGTATCGAGGGTGGGTTCTAGGGTGCCCGTGACCCCCCTTTGTAGAATTTTTTTTTAGTTCAGCGTTTCGGAGGGGACAAAGAAAATGGCGGATTTTTGTGCACCTCCCTTAGGAAAATCCTGGCTACTCACCGAGGGGGAGGGGGGGGGTATAAAAGTCGAATTTGCGTAGAGAGGAAAATCAGAGAACACGGAGAAAAACCCTTGTAACACAAACGTAGCAATGAGAGGCGAAAAACGCCTACGTTGTACGTAATTTGTTACTATAAAGATGAAATTCATGGCCATCAAGGGTGGCGTAGGCTGAAAGTTTATTAAATATTTCTATGTTATTTAGACTGGCTACTGAACATCTGAGAAGACTGTGCCAGCTGTCCACTCGTAATGCTATGCTGTGTAGTGTTAACAGAGTGTTCGGGAAGATTATCAACATCCTCGAATCTTGTCATCGGTCCATCGATGAAACATGGGCAGGTACGGCACAAAATGACTTCTCTTTTGTTACCTCGAGTTACTAAAGCATGTTAACAATATGGAATAACTTGTGACTACTTTGGGATGCTGTTTATTTTGACCCCTTAAACCGACTCCCGATGTAATATATGACGTAATGTTATATGATCCCAATGTTATCATTATATAATCATAGACACTACTTATTGTACTTGAGTAGTTATAACAGTGGCTTGAAATAAACATCTTGATTCTACACGATCTGAGCGACTACAACATGGTGTCAGAACGTGGTCTATGAGCGAACCATTACTCGCATCAGTTAGAATGGCATCGAGTCTACAATGGGCAGCGCCAAGAGAAATGTCTTTTGAAGGCAACGTCAGCGAGAACTATCGAAAGTTCGAAGAACACTGGAATCTATTCGAGAAAACAGAACTTAAAGGAAAATCCGAAGAGGAGCGATGCTCGTATTTTCTGCTCTGCATTGGCGAGAAGGGTCGAGAAGTGTACAAGACACTGGACCTTCCTGACGAAACGA